GGAGAGTTACTGAGTCTTGTATGCAAAATTTTACTCTTTATACAGAAGTGAGGGGTTTGTTGTTGTTGTTGTTTTGTTTTCACAGAACATTCCAAAAGCTAAAAATTGTTATCTTGCCTTTTGGGAATATAGGAGACTTTTTCTTTGATTATCTATACAAAAAGATAAGCTAGCAGAGTGGCAATATTCATCCCCATTTTAGTAATTTTTAATTTCATTCTCAGAGAGGTCTCCTCCTTCTGAAGGGACTAGGAGAATCAGAGAACAGAAGAAATGAATCAAATTCTGAGCTCCACTTACCTCCAACAATCAAAGCAGCAAGCACAGACTGTCCTCTTGGGAGCTGCTGTGGCTTCTTCCAAGCAGAGAGGGAAGAATTCGAGTGTCTGTAGCAGGCGAGGAAATTGGGCAACACACTGAGCTCCCTTTTTGTTACTCTCGGTGACTGCATTTGCCCCTATACAGCTTACTTGGTCTGGGTAGTCTAAGGATGAATGGGAGCTAAAAATGAAAATGCATGGAGGAATTTGAAGAGGTTTGCTTGTGTGAGAGGGTCAGTACAAAGCCACTGTGTCGTGCTGGACTTAAAAGCTATTTTGAATAGGACTTGAAGCAAAACATAACGGGCCAGAATTTCTCACAGCAGGGAACCAGATCTTTGTGCAGTGTGAATAGTCCAAAGGAAAATATGAGATTATTGTCACCCATAATGATTATTTAGTAGGATAACTGCTGTCAGTTTTGACTCAAAGGTTGTATTTAGACACAGAGAAGCTCTGACTAGTTTATCATAAGAACTAACTCACTTCTCCTATGACATGCCCTTACAAGAGAAGGATGTTTTATAACAGAAAGACACGGATTGCAGAACTTCTTCTTGTTGTTTTTTTATTTGTATACCACACCATTTTCTGGGGAAAATGATAGGCTATTTGCAGACAAACCAGATCACCAACTGCAGACTGTCCAAATTAAAATAAACAGCAACTACATAGCACTTACCTCTTTGAAATTATTATTTAAAGTTCCTGGATTTCAGGGAATTGAAGATATAGGAAAAGATGGAAGAAGGCTTTAAAATACTGAAAAACATCTTTGATATTTTTTATTGCGCTAATTTGGTATACTGAAGGGGAAGGGATGAAAGCTAATGCATTGATTTGTAAAAATTATTTCATCGGTCCTTGTGTGGGAAAAATAGAAGTGTTTCTCCCCTGCCCATGCCTCAATTAGATTTTACTGAGCAAATTCGTATTTGCTTAACGTATCCATGGGTAGCTTTTGCATGAATCCAGCCAGAAAAATCACTTCCAGCCAGAAAAATCACTTAACTTTATAGAATGCTGAATCCTGGTATCAAAAGTCAATAGCCTATTTTCTCCTAGTAGCTTTGCATTTACTTTAAAAGCTTCCCTTCACCTGGAAATAAGGCCTGTCTGTATCTTCACAGAGTAGGTGTTCCCTGACACTAATGCAGTGACTGACACTACTGAAAGTAATAGTCCTGTTCCCTTTGCAGCTCAGAGCCCCTAAATCTGCTTTCCGTTATCAGTATAATGGGGTTGAATACATTTTTAAAAGGTGGTAGCTATTGATTACTTAATGGAAAAAGTTAGTATAGAGAATTGCTGAAGCAGCCCTATTTAGTGCTCTCCAGTGCAACAAGACCATTATCTAGAATAGTGGAAACCGTCCTGTAACCCTTATTAATATTTAATAGGGATGAAGCAACATTGAAGTACACTACAAAATAGCCCAAGGCTTCTGCACATGTAGGATATAAGGTTGTTTCAAGGGTCGAAAAAGAATAACTTATTTCCCTGTGCTCAGGCTGTTTGTAGGTAAGACCAACAATAAACAATGTTTTTCCTCTTGTTCCTTTTAAAGTATTTGCAGCACATCTGCACTTTAATATACAGTTATTCCTACTAGACATCTCGAAGTGATTGAATGCAACAGAAAGGTCAGTGTATGTTTAGAGATCACTGTGTGAGACTATTTTATACTTCGGCAATATCGCCGTGAATCCCAGCCTCCCTCTCCCTATCCCTCCCGCTCCGTGCTACAGGGCACATTTGGCTGGGTTGACAAGCAAGTGAAAGGTGTTAATCCTGTCTAATAGAACCATAATCCTCGGGGCTGTGTTTTCATACCATACTATTGAGCTAACGCCTTGTCACAGGATATTGTTCATCTACTTAATAGCAAAGTTCTTTATGGGAATTTTAGATAAAATTAAAGTGTACAATCCAAATTGTCCTTTTCAATTTCACAGAGTAAAAGCAAACAAATAAACCACAATGTTTAGCCAACAGAGATTTTCTGAGAGATTACAATCAATTAAGAAGAGTACCATGTGATTTTTTTCTTTTCTTTTTTTTTTTCCCCTAAGTGAATAGTAAATGTCATTTTACTTGTCCAAAAATATTCACAAATCTGGGTCAGCTTCTTCAAATAACCTTTGGCTGGAAATATTTTTCAGGTTAGATGTGCCCAGAAACGTTAGTGAAAAAAATGATGTTATTTCTTTTTCTCTTAAGCCACAGTGGTTAGCACATGGACCCAAAATGTGGGTGCACTTTCCTCTTCCATCTGGCTGTGCTCAGGCCTCTCCAGCTGCTACATCCACATTTTTGGTTGGGTTTTTTTTTTGGCAGGGGGACACCTGCTTAATAAATAAGTGTGGGAAAACAGGGAAATGAAACAGCAAGGAGCTTTTATTTTCAATTGTGTTCCAGGGATGCCAATTTTCTTCTTCTCAAATGGAGACTTTAAAACAAAGTATTCTCACATGGTTTCTCCTAGCTTTACTTTGTCTTATTTTTTCCCTCTGGAAACTATTTTTAGTTTAAAAGTGACTGCATTTAAGAGATAAAGGAGCTAATATGGGCAGTAACCCCGTGATTTATGAGCAGGGACAGAAAAAGATGAAGTCCTTCCTTGATGGAAACACCCAGGGGAGGTATGTGTGTGTGCTCCATGTAGCTGGTATCATTTTGATGAACTCCTTCTGTAAGATCACAGTTGTGAAGCCTGAATGCCATTTCACCACCCTGCATGGCATCAGGAGCCTGACGCTGTTACTCATGAGTCCCACCGAGGACTAACTGCTGCCAGGAGAGTGTGAGGAGACAGAGCAGCACACGGCAGCTTGGTAGCTGAGGGCAGAACAGGTACAGGGACGTGCCAGCACTCAGAAACTTGCCAGCAGCTGAAATTCTTGCTTAGGTCTCGACTCAAACTGGTCTTTGGTTTTCCAGCTTTCCAGAGGACGGCACTCCCGCAGCATTACTAACCCTGCCGCCTGGGTAGGGAACGTCCCAGACAACAGATGCAGCAAGGGCAGTGTTGCCTGCAGAGCTCAGTGTTTGGGCAATTCTGCTCCTCTTACCATTACCAAGAGATTTCTCCTTAACTTCCATGGAAGCAGGTTCATGCTGGCATTAAGCATGTCCGCAACCCAGAGGAAGGCAATGGGATCGGCTATGAAAACAGTCCTTCTCTCCTCTTTTGTTACCCAAAGGATGGTCTACCTCAGCTGCCTCTGAGGCTATCATCTCATGCAAACTCTAACCTGGTAGAGAAGACTGGAAAGCTGTAATGGTAGAGCGGAGCTGACAGCTCGCAGGCCCTTTTGAGGCTTGTGGCATTCCCAGATGGAGAGCGAAAGGAGGTAGCTGGAGGGGAATGAGGCACAACAGGTGCTTTAGAAACCTGGAGGGAGATGAAAAGATGGCTCTTGTGACTTACAGGGAAGAAAGCAATGGAGCAAGGAACTGGCTTGGCTGAAATCAGATGGGCAAGGTAAATGGATGAATAAGTATTGGAAAACCTGTAACCGGGTTGCCTGAAATTACTTCTGTGTTTTTTGTCCTCCAGAGGGGATTTTGAATACTCAGAAATATACTGAGATGATATTGCATAGTATACAACAATAAACTCTGCTTCGAGAAATCTGATAGTGCATTAAAAGACTTTCATTTAGTATGGAAGAGTGAAGAACTTTTAAAAAAGGAGACATTCTGGATTTAGGTTTGAGTATTGGTGAAGATATAAAAACAAGCTCTTAAATACACTGTAGAGTTGATAAATACCCAAATTCTGGCTGTTATTAGGGCCATGATTAAAGGGACTTGTGACTTGTCATCAATGCCAATTTTATGCAGTTTGCCACCATGGGCAGTGCAGTGTCAGACAATTTTGCCTAGGCATATCTGACCTCTGTTGCAAAAATCTTCTGTCCCACTTCCCTCCTTACCATGTCAATTATCCACACATAGAAAGGGTGAAAATCAGAAGGAAGTAAAGCAATCCGTTCTCGGTCTCTTAATGCACAGTTCAGGTGATGCAACCCTTCTCATGTGCTGTGGCACAGGGAAAAATTGTACCAATGTACATTTAAAAATCAGATTTTCAAATTGAAGGATTGGGAAGAAAAACACAAGGCCCACCCAATTATTCTGTTACTTACTCCCTCTGCAACATAAGCCATTTGGAAAAAAATTATTCATAATCCTCGAGGGTCCTTGCTGTTCCTTTTTGTAAAGAACCATAAACAGTCTACCCGGCTGCGAAAGTAAACTGTATAAATTGCCACAGTTGACACCACCATAACTGACTCTATAGCTCATATAATTTTATGGAAACACCTTTTTTTCTAAGCTCACGGACAGCAATCTTACCCAGAATTAACTTGTAGATATCTGTGTATAAGTAATATGAAACTGATGTAGAAGAACTCAATCATATCTATGATCTAGTTAGTATTTGAAGCAGTATTGGTTCTTTTATTCATTTTTCTGCTTATGGCTGTACAGTTACAATTTTTTTTCCCCTATAGTCACCTCCTAGTTTGTTTCTAGCTGGATGTAGCAGTTCATGGTTCACTGATCTGGGAGGAATTTTTAACATAAACAGGTGACTTGACAGTTGTATTTAAGTCTTCATAACAGAACAAAACACCATCAGTGAGTCAAAATTTGTCTTCTCTTTTCTTACAGCGTACAAGCAGCTTTGGAAGCTTTGACCGTTTCAGGCATCACTCGCTATCAAAGACAGATGATTCAGCTGAGGTCTGTATAGCACAGTGTTTTATTTTCTTCAGTTAGCTTTCCCACGACAGTTGTGCAAAAACATTGGAAAACTATCGTGTAGATTTTACACTGGTGAGAACTTTGCTTGTGTACCTGGATCTGCCGGGGTTTTGAGCCCTTGCCAAAATGAACAAGAGAATCACACCTAAACTTTGGTACTTTGATGGGAAGATTAGAAAAAATTTTTCAAAAGACAAAAGCGCACTTCAGGTCGGTGCATGCCCAAAGTAATCACCACATGTGTGCAACCCACAGATGTGTTATTTTTGTTTTCAAGAACCTGCATAAATCCTCTCAGTTATTGTTTGGAATAAGGACAATAAACAATGGGAAACAACATTTTCTAGTATAAAAGATATTTTCTTTTTATCATTCACAAATACAGTGGTCTGCTGCAAATCTGTTTAGGTACACAGTTCCCCAGAAAAATGGCTGTGACTGACTGCATTGGTGTCCTTAATATTTTTCTGTAATTCCTATTTCTCTACACTGAAATTAATTTTCATGGTGAGTTGTTGCTTACTTTTTTATTTTGAATCAGGTATCTGAGTTGGAGACTATAAGTGATGTTGGAGATGCAGTACAAACTAAAGCAGCAAATAATGGAGGAAGCTTGGGTAAGAAGATGAGAGCCATTTCCCTTACCATGAAGAAAAAGATGGGTAAAAAGTACATCAAGGCACTCTCTGAGGAGATGGTAAATACAGCTTAAGAATCTCGTGTTTGATGATAATACGTGTGAAGTAAAAATGTTATGCGCATTTTTCCGCTTCATGTTTCCATTGCATCAGTTACGACAATCCAGAAAAACATGGTAACACATACTGAATTCAAAAAAGCTTTTAGTGTGTAACCTTTCTTTCATGTACATGTTAATGTACACACATATACAATTAAAGCACATAAATAAATACACAGTAAGGGCCCAAGATTGACACAGGAGTTTTACATCATTGAATTTTGCTTTGTCATCAAGGAACATTTGTATAAGCATCACAAAAAAGTCTCCTGATGTGGATACAAGGGAGTATCTGATGAACCCAATCAGCAGTCTGACACTCAACCTGTACAAAATGCTTCATTAGAAGAATTTCTTTCAATACAAAAATTATTTCCAAAGTCCATTTCGTTGAGGTCACCCAGCATCCTAGAGCATGACAACTCATATGCCTTATCTGCTTTTACCTTATCTAATCTTAGTGAACCTATCTTTATTAAACATAAAACCCATATAATGTTTCACACACTGCAAACACTGTTTTCTCAATATGTTGTGTTAGTGAGTTACAAATTTTAAAAAACATAAGGAAAAAAGAATTGTCAGACTTAATCATCCTAAAAAATCTAGCTAGTCTCCATTCTATTTCATAAAGGCATCAATATCAAATAAGTAGGGAAAATAAATAAGAAATTTCACAAATAGAAAATAGTGCTTCACAGGATACCTTTAGACAATTTTTGGTGGTCAAAACCAAGGATTCCTATTTCATTAGTTTAGTTTGCATTTTTTGCTAAAATTCAAGAGGTTGCAATCCATGATTTTTACATTAAAAGGAAGAAAAATCAGAATTTCAACATATACCTTCTGCACATTTACAGCAACAAGTCACATCACAGAAATTCAATTAATTATCTCATTGGACACACATGTAGCATAATCTTCATTTCTGTATGAGAGATGATGACAATCACTACTGACTCACTGATTAATCTATGGGTTATGCTGCAGACTGCTGTAACAAACAATGTTCTTGTTGTAAACCAATATAGTCTTTCATTTCATTGCTATGCCTGATACATATCTGTATGGGCCTTTACTTCGTACACACACTGTCATCTTTGTTTGACTTCATCAGTCAACTGATGAATAATTAATATTTCCCCAAATGTAACGTAACATCCTAAGTACTGCAGGATGTTTCAGTTGCATCAGAGTATCACACACGTCGACAACATGATGAAATTTGCTGAAGAAACTCCTTCCTTTGAAAGCTCATCATTATTTCATTTAGTTGCTGCATCGACCCTAACTAACTTACCTGTGAGTGAAATATGGATCTTATTGTTTTGAATAGGCTGTGATTCCTGAGGTGTGGTTTGATGTTATAAACTCAAGGGGCTAATTTCATACACCATTAGATTTTGTGAGAGAAACATGCACCTGTTAACTCTGAAATGCACTGGATTTCAAAGCCAATGCATATGTTGGGCAACATGATGAGCCTGGTGCTAGAACACAGTGATGCCGTACATGTGTGCAGGCTGTCTCCAGAACACCCTGGCTTGGGTACCAGCCTGTCAACAAGCGCCCCTGATTTCCAGAAGTTCCACACAAAACACAGCTGCATCAGCTAGCACTTCACTGTTGCTCACCAGCCTGGGCTGTGGCACCAAGGACACTGTTGCATCTTCCACAGCCAGGAGGAAATGGCCTGCCTCTTGTAGGCAGGGTCTGTACCTTGACTTGATTAGTTCATTAGTTCATTACATTCAACTCAGTCCAGCTGACTAATAATGATCAGATGCCATAATTCCCCCTTTTTGTTTTACAATTTTTGTTTTCACAAAGGCTTTAAGGTGAGCAGAGACCTGGTCCATTCATCCAACTACAGCACACTTCCCTCCCACAAATACCATGTCAGGGCTTGCAGCTTTACCTTCTTCTCCAAAGGACTCTCACTCGGGCTCCCAGCTCCAGCTCTTTCAGCTCGGGCCCCAGGCTTCTTAGGGTCTCACCAATGTATCATATCAGAGTCACCAGTTGTTGCTCACCAGCCTGGGCTGCGGCACCAAAGACACTGTTGCATCTTCCACAGCCAGGAGGAAATGGCCTGCCTCTTGTAGGCAGGATCGGTACCTTGAGTTGATTAGTTAATTAGTTCATTATATTCAACTCAGTCCAGCTGGCTAATAATGATCAGATGCCATACTTCACCATGTACTTTCAGAATTAAACTTTATATTTCCTCCGCTGAGACAAACAGAAACACCCTATCTGGCTACCTGCAAACTTCCCGTTACAAGATTTTGTTGTTGCTGTGTTATATTGCAGTCTCCTGAGATGGAGAATCAGTTTAGCTGCTTCAGTGGGAGTGGAATGAAGCAAGTGGGGCTGAGAGAAAACAGGGGATTTCTCCAAGATCATAAGATGCTAGGGGTGGTGCTGGGCATCCTTAGTACCAGGCATCAACTTCTAAAATGTTTTCTCTCACAGAGTGGTTCTTAATAAAGTCTAATGATGAGTTAATCTCCAATGACGATTTAAAAGAAAAATAAAACAAATGTTTGTCTAAAATACATCTCTTAGTGATTAACATGGGATTTTTCTGTTAAAGAATGAAGAAGGAAAAGATGACAGTGATCCTGGTGGTGGAATACACACTGAGAAGGTCTCCCTAAAAGCCAGTGACTCTATGGAAAGTCTCTATAGTCTGAACAGTGGCCAGAGCTCATCTAGTAAGTACAAGATACCCATACTTCTTATTCAGTCACTGGATCAATATTGTTATTGTCTAAGTCTGCGGTATCAGAGCTGGTGATCAAAAATGTGATAGTAGAGAGCTCTTCAGTCTGGCAGACAAAAGTGTAATTTGATTAAATGGGTGGCAGCTAGGGTAGATATACCTCTCTACAGAAATAAGTTGAGTGTTTTTAAGAGTGGAAATATTAACTGAAGTAAAAAAAAATAACATGGATTATAGGGGATGTTGCCATAAATGTTTTTTGGTGTTTTTTTTGTCACTGCCATGGTGCTAGCACTCATAAGGTTGCAATCCCTGGATGCAGTCACACAAGCATCTTCTCTGGAGGTAGTTGCTGTGAATTCATCCTTCGCCCTGCAGATGTGAGGCAGACAAAGTGAGAGGTCTCTCTGAGATGATGGGTGATGGGGCTTGACCTGGTGGCTTCAGATCATGATGCAGAAAGACACAATCTGCTTTTCTGCAAACCCACTGAAAACCGTCCCCCAACAGGGTAGTCTCAGTCAGAGGGCAGATGAATCTCTGATGAGAAGTAGAGTTTGCCTCCATCTCTCTACCCGTTGCTCTGCTGTGGACATTTGCTGGGCAGCCAGCCACAGCTGTCCATAATGACGTTGCTGTGCCATCACTGCAGGCATCACCTGAACCCTAAGTGGGAACTCGAGCTGCGGTCCAGACCATTTGCACTTAGTAGTTAATCTGGCCCTGAGACGGAGCTGTGCACTTAAGCAATCACCTCAAACAAAACCATTTTTATGATCATTTTCTGTGATGTGATTTGTGAAAATTGTATATGGGAGTTTACTTCCAACACACTGCTGCTCTTATCTAAAAACATATTTGGATGGGATATTGCAGAGCTTGCTCAAATTTGCTTGAATTACTCTGCTGATATTTTATTGCTCAACTTGGATAAAATGACAGGCAGAAATGTTGATAAGATTAAAATTTCCCTCTGCAATGCAGGTTCCTTTGATGTTTCAGCTAGCTCTGTAATGAAATAAAATAACTTCTACAGTACTTGTTTTCATTTCTCTGAATAAACAGGAGAAGTTGTGCAGAATTAATTCCCTAAATTGCACTTTTAGAGTGCACTTTATTAACCTGCAGAGGTAATATTTCAAGAAGTCTGTAAGTAAGAATGTGTTGTCTGTTAGTATCATCACCAGAAAAAGATTATTGTAGGGAAGATGTTAATGAAAGATCTACTTATTTTCTTCCGTCTCTTGTAGTATGCTTTTTATTGAATGCATTTTTCCTGGAACGTGTCAAAACCACACAGAATACACGCTTTCTCTAATTCTGTGCTTTTGAACACTTTCCTCTCAGCTGCTGTGCAGAATTGCATGTCTGGGCATTTGGTGCAGGAGATCTCTCAACCTGACTCTCTTTAAGGTGGGGTGACCAGCTGCTCAGATGGAACGAGCAACAGGGACAGCCTCCGGTTTGATGATGAAGTCCCTTACAGCGGGCCCTTCTGCGGTCGAGCCAAAGTCCACACCGACTTCACACCAAGTCCTTATGACACCGACTCTCTGAAAATCAAGGTACGGCAACCACCAGGACTCCTTTTCCAGTAAGAATGTCAGGGGGGCATTTCTTACATACGAAGAGTATGTTTACTAATCCATTTTTAACTGTTAAACATGTGTAACACTCTAAAAGCAAGACCAATCTGGTTTTGCAATGCTCCTATAAGAACTTAGTTCAGACAATGCTGCAAAGCCAACTGCTGCTAAAGGCTTTTTAAGGCATAGACTCCAGGCAGGTATTGTGGTATCTATCTGTATACCACAGCTTTCCTCAGAGTAAAATACACATTCCTTCCCACGTACTAGGTCTGGACTAAGAAAAACTCAAGTCTCATGGGATGTGAAGTTGCCTCCCCAGCTTTTTCAGTCACGGCTAGGATATATCAAAAGCTCAGTGGCACTCATTGTCTTTGATGAAAACAGTTCACCTTTCCATTAAGCTTTTCTTTAAGCATACCTTTGAACTATAAATTTTCTCTGGCCCTGGCAGCATGGCAGGGGTGTCCAGGCTGTGTGAGTGAGAAAAAGGAGCTCCAGATGTGGGCCTAGCTGAACATTACTAAAAAAGCCCAGCCCTTTTCTTCTCCCACGCACAGATACATTCAATATAATCGTCCTTGAGACTACTCATGTCTGTAATCTGGACTTCTGTCTTTTCTCTCTTTGCAAACACCGTCAAATCCAGAATATATTCACACTTCAGCATCTTTTCTTCACAGCCTCTTCTTTTTGTCAAAATACTCATCCGCATCTCACTGCAGTCTCCCTCGCCTTCTCTCTGGCCTATATTACAGCCATTGCTCTGCCAGTACTTGCAGCCTTCACCACTTGCCCTCCCCTTCCACCCACATATAGGGCATTTCCAGTTTAACTGGTCACAGAATGGCAAATGTCTGCCGGCTCATGTAGGTTCCTTTTTTAGCCAGTGGGGCAGTGTATTTTAGAATTATAAACTAATACTTAGAGTTGGAATCCCCTAAATTTATCTCACAGAATTTCAGTGCCCTGAATCTGAATTCAAAGTGTGTCTGCATCTTGGCTTAGAGCCACCGCCTAATCCTGATCTGCCTCCACGTCTGGAGTTCCTGAGCCTCCATCAGTGTATAGAATAATATGTGTGCTTATAGAGCTTTAAACAAATGTTTGTTTAGTTTCCATTTCAAACGTGCTCATAGCTCTGAGCTCCATGTTCCAACAAAACCAGGTCACTGGAACACAGTCAATTTCATACTTGGGTTTGTACCAAAAATAGGGTGATCACCTTACTTACGGTTTCTTGACCAGACCAGAAAAGATTTGAAAGTCTTAGAGTTGTTTACAGATATTTTAACAAACTGATTTTTATTTTTAAATTGGTAACAGAATGCCAAAGTGTGTTGGATTCGTTGGATAACCCTTTAAAGACTTTCAACTTTTTTTAAGTTCTGTGGTAAATGTCCAAAAGAGAGGACTCAATTCTGAGGTCATGAGAGCAAGTTGTGTAGGAAGTATGACAAATAAGCCTTTTTACTATGAAAATTACTCAAAGTTACTGTTTTGCTGAGCTGACACCTTGGTTCCCACAGCGTGGCTGTGAACACCTTTACCAAAAAGCCCTTTTGAAGTAGCTGTGTTCTCACTCTTTTTTACGCTCACATTTGTGAGAGAATGCACAAGGGTGGAGAGCGGAAGCCTTTAGATCTGTCTGCAAAGGCATCTTCCACTATTTTCACAGTGAATTGTGTTAATAATAGTGAGAAAATTTGTCAGTCCTTTAGGAAGGACAGACGGGAAGATATCGAGGGAGTTAAATGTTCTTTATTGCCTTCGAGAAATGTAGCCAATGTTTTTTACTGTAAAATGAGTAAGAGTCCACCTTTCACATAGCTCACCTATCAGTTGTTAAACACCCTTGAGAAGCTGGATAATAAGACTATTGTGTAAATGGTTTGACGCATATTTGGAAAATAACCTCACAATGCTCCCTTGCTTTTTGCCAAAGCTATGCACACTATCTATAGCAAAAGTTGATTGCTAATGCAACTCTATCCCTTTTCAGGGACCTAGTGGAGCACAAAAATGGTGAGAGGGGGTGCTTATGCTCATTCCTCCTTCACAAAGGTTTGGAGATAAGGACTAGCTCCATTTTCTGTAATTATTTTGCTGGGATTTTATAAAAGTAAAGGAGCTAAATCTAGGTAATTTTTAAAAGCTACTTCACACTGACTAGTTAAAATTTTGTGCTGTCTGTGCTGGTTTTGGTCTATAGAGGAAAAGCTACATATAACAAACCAGGTGTGTAAGCAGTGGTGTCCTCTTTTTTATTGTTCTAGAAAGGAGACATTATAGATATCATCTGTAAAACCCCCATGGGCATATGGACAGGCATGCTGAACAACAAAGTAGGAAACTTCAAGTTCATTTACGTGGATATTATCTTGGAAGAGGAAGCTGCACCCAGAAAGATAAAGCCGCACAGAGGAAGCAAAAGGACCAAGCCTAAAACGTTGCAAGAGCTCCTGGATTGTGTCCACTTGCAGGTCAGCCATCACGTTTCCCAGCTGTATTTGAAACGTTTAATTTCTGTGCACTTGGAGTTTGGATGTCATTTACAGCCAGAAGTAGAAAGGCAGGTTTCAGCAGTTTTGATGTCAGCAAAGCAAAGCAGCTTCGTGTCTGTGTTTTATCTGATGTGAGTGGCTTGCAGAACTGCATTTTACCACATCATTTGGTTAGGCTAAAAGAATCCACGCACAGTGGCGACTTGTCAAGTCACCACAACCTGACTGCAGTTGTGCGCCTAAGCGTAAGCGGTGTGTGACTCTGGACACCTCAGGGACAGGACTGCAGTCTGACTCCAGTGCCAACATTTAGAATTTGGCTTTCTAATTTCTTGTGATCATTAGAGAGCAATAGTCTTTTTGCACTAGGCTCATGTTGTGCCTCTCTCACTCTCTGCAACCTTAGTTCTTGACTGAGTGTCAAAGCGTAATTAGGTTATGATTTACAGGTAACGTTTTTAATAATGGTTATTGCTTTGGTGCTGATGCAAACGCTCCTTTCCCTGGAGTATGTGTAGAGTTACACACTGCGTTGACACACAGTCAAGGGGGATCACATGTGATGCAGCGTGGCTGAAGGCTCCTTCATCTTCTCACCTGCACTTATATCGAAGGGCACACCTTACCGCAGAGGCCCTCCTGGACCCAGCATGAGAGGGACTCATGAGGTGACCCACAAAAATCCGGACACTTGGCAGATTAAATCATTTCTGGCAGAGCTTTGTCCTGGTCCAATTTACTGCTGGACTCTGTCAGACAACTCAGGCACAGATCCTGGGATCGCCAGGAGGACCTCCAGGCATGTCTGTCTCAGTCTGCTCCTACTCTCCAGTACTGGTTATATGCCAAAGGTGGGTCAATCAGACTGCAGAATGGACCCCATTTCAACCTAACAAAAAAGTAAAAGAGAAGTTGTGCCTATTCCTCTACTAAACATAGTGCTTGTTCACGTGAGAGGATTTGCTTGTTCCTTTTTGTAGGAATATGCCTCAACTCTCTTACTAAATGGCTATGAAACTCTAGAGGATTTAAAGGATCTGCAGGAGAGCCACCTGATTGAATTAAATATTTCAAACCCAGAAGACAGAGCAAGACTGTTATCAGCAATTGAAAATCTACAGGACTATGACAGTAAGTGTTTAAGCTTTGTTAGGAGTCATGTGTAAGTTTTAAGTAAAGAAACACATTTAAAGACATAGTGATTCTCACACTGATCTGTTAAATGATTTTGCTTTTAAATATGAAACATGGAGTCTGATGGTTTTCTTATTTGTTTATATAGAAAACCATACATCTCTCCTAGATATTTATATGATTACTATACTAGTAACACCTGAATGATTTAAAATTTCTTATTTATAGGTCCTACACTAGAGATTGATAGCAACTAATACTTAAGAACAACCCTATTTATGGTTAGGGACCCAACCCCCAGAGAGGTTAAGTGACTTCCCAAAAGTCATGAGCTCTGTACAAGTGCAGAAAACAAAACCTTGCAAATGCTGTGCTAGTATCTTCACCAAAATAGAGCTTATTTCAAATAGCTACAGTAAAGACTATTAATTTTTTTTTTTTCAACAACATTCTGCAGAAGACTACAGTTTTTCCTTCCCTCACTTCATCCCACACTTATATCCTTATCCTAATGAGTTTCTTTTGTAGGAAGGTTTTGTAAAAAAAATATATACTAATAGTTGGTTTGCATTCTTTCCTCAAAATTAATCAGAATCAAGTTTATGGTGAGCTTCCAAAAGCTGATAATACAATATGTGTCTGTGTATGTGTATTGATCACCATTATGTTTTCGTCACGTGTTCCTTTCACTGACAGTGGAAAAGCTAGGGTAGAATAATAGAATCATAGAGCAGTTTGGGTTGCAATAGACTTTCAAGATCATCTAGTCCCAACCTCCCTGCCATGGGCAGAGACACCTTCCACTACCTCAGGTTGCTCAAAGCCTCATCCGACCTGGCCTTGAACACTTCCAGGGATGGGGCATCCACAGCTTCTCTGGGCAACCTGTTCCAGTGCTTCACTACTCTGAGAGTGAACAACTTCCTCCTTAGATCTAATTGAAATTTACCCTCTTTCAGTTTAAAGTCATTGCCACTTTTTCTGTCACTGCATGCTCTTGTAAACAGTCCCTCTCCAGCTTTCTTGTAGGCATCCTGGTGTAAGATACCAGGTACTAGAAGACAGCTATAATGTCTTTCAACAATCCAGTCATAGGAGCCATCCCACCACCTCTCCATAATGTCAATATGGAGCTCTGCAGTCGTGTGCACTTCTAACTCCTCCTGTTTATCCCCTTTATTTCTGTTTTTATTCTGATACAGAACAGAAAATACTGTTCTCATGATGTTTTAATGATATTTCTAGCCTGACTTCTAATTTTAAATAATTTATGTCAAATTTCTAGAAACTACAGCTAAGCATCCACTTAATTAGACACTCAGCCAAACCAGAAGATGTTTTCCTCTTCTATTAATATTTGTGCATACTCATCCCTATGCTGAGCAGCCATTTCATCAAACGGGCACTCCCAATTGAGAAGCATCTGAAAGAAAGAAAAGGAGACTGGGAAAAGCAATGTCTTCCTGAGATATTTTAATATCAGTTCTTGTCAGGTGTCCACTTTTTATGTCCTCAGTAGTTAGGTAACTTTCCAATTCTTACTCTAGCACATGTACATATGTATGCATGTACCTGCATGTACAGTACATAAATCTCTGGGTTTCTAAGCATGTCTTTGGCTACCTCATCCATTCAGCTTTCCCTGCAGATGTTCTCTAATCTCCCTCTTCATGTCTTGGCTGGCCTTGTTTTTTATTGTATGTCTGGGCTTTTTTGGGACCCCATTTGTACATGCAGTCTTTCCTGTTCTCAGTCAGCTTCCAGGGAAAGGTAAGGTTCTTGCAAACACGTTGGAGAGGCATTAAAAGGGTGGGTTTTTTGCCTACCAGGTTCAGTAGTTCTTTCTGGTCTATAGCTTTGTGAGATGGCAGGCTAGAAAAGGACTCTTGAAGGGCTGTCTATGTAGAAGTAGTGACTGAAAGAGTGAATCCTGGAAAAATAAAAGGTTATATTTTCTGAGAATTTTATTGCAGCGATCTAGCTCGAGATCATCTGAAAATACGTTTATTTCCCTAATTTGCCCTTAAAGTGAGTACACATATATTTGTGCATACTTCTTGGTAACTAGCCTTGCTGCACTTTCTGCACCTTTTATTGTATTTGGTTTTCTCTATCAATATTTAACACACATAAAAAAAATATAATGAAAAATTCTAGCTGTAATTTTGCAGTTTTGCATCAGTGTGAAAAACAAAACCAAAACTTAATGGTTTTCAACAGACCATGCAAGTGTCAAACTGTTCTGGAGTAGTGAGAATACAGTTTGCTATTTATGTTCCTTATGTAACAAAAAGCATAGCAAGCAGCCTTAGACACCTAACCTTTTTAGAAGGTGACACCAAGTTTTCCTTTTTCTGAAGGCGTCTTAACACTTAATATTCTACACATACTTGTGCAAGGACCAAACCTAATAAGGTCCTTCAATGTCCCATACATTGAAAATTAATACATTTTCCTTAATTATCCAAATAGGGTTCTTCTTAATTGGCAGCATGGGATTCAGTCACTTCTCCAGGCAAAACAGTGTCCCTGATGTTATCTGTATGGTAATCTAACAGTTTAAATTCTTGTAATGGTTGTGGAAATAATAGCATTAAATCTTATAAAGTGGCCCATGTCACTTCAAAATCAGTGATGGCACTGTAGTCTTAGATCAAGAGATGAAATGAATATTTGTTTCGCATCCACTTTAGATAGGTATGACCAATCTTTCTAGTATTCAAATTCAATAAAATAACATTCCTAGAATTTATGAATACTCACAGGGACCAGAACCAAGACATTTTTATATACCATGTCAGCTATAAGCATTCATTTAAGTCTAGTTGAGTTTCGTAAGACTTACACATATTTTAAGGTGAGACACACATTAATACTTTCCTGGTTTGGGACACTGTCTTGAATCGGGACTGATTCAAATCCTTGCCTTGTCTGGTTGCCAAAGGTTCATAGCATTTGTCAAATGACTGGTAGGGACAGAACAGAATTTAACAACCGTCTCTAAAAAGGAAGATACTAAAGACTAAAATTGATAGAAGCTATCTGTTAAGGTGTTATAACAAAAGACGAGGAGTCAAGATAATCTTGGGGATAAGCTCAGCATGAGTCTGACTTCATCTGAATCATTTGACCTCTCTGTCCTTCTGTCAACCCAATGGAAAATTGGGTTGAAAGAGCTGGGTGCTACTGTGAAAGTGAATTCTGCATCTGAACTGAACTTTCCTAGGTCAATATATTTTTTTTTTCCTAAATGGGCATGACTCAGTCTAGCATAAATGATTTTTTAATTAAAATTGATTTTCTGAATTGCTTAGAAGTGAGCAGCATAATTACCCATAGCTACAAAGTAATCTGTTTACTGGCCAAGAGTATTCTAGATACAAGTTCAGCACTTTTCCAGGTAAAAGTTCACTCTTTTCATAAGCTTTGTGAAAAAATACACTAAGGCCATAGACTATATTTATTGTTCTAAGCCCATCTTTCTCACTGAGCT